CCCCAAACAGAACCCAAAAAAATATCCACATATATTAAAATAAATTTTTATTAATTTAAAAAATAAAAAAAACAAAAAATAAATCACCTCCCCCACCTCTTCTGCTGGGGGGGCCCCCCACCCCCCCCCCCCCCCCTCCTTAAAGCCCGTTCGTTCAGGAGCAATTGGTAAGAAATGTACGCTGGTAAATGATCAGTTTTGATGTGTTGATTACAAAACATAATCTGTATGTGTACTGTCGCTGCCGCAAGTAGCAAAGCTCCCAGAAATCGTCTGAGTCTCATCCGTTTTCCAAGTAGCAGTCTCTGGATCATTTTTTGGATTTGCTTCTGAGCTTAAGTTATATTTGCAAAAAAATACGAATTATTATGGCTTCAGTATGTGATTATACGATAGGCGAAGCCTCTTCAAGCCAAGTTCAGGGTAACCTCGCTTCTTTTGTGCCTAACGGCTCCGCCACCTAGGGATCTCACTATCATCTACCCCTTTTCACTATTACTGACGAGAGACATTTGTCTTTGCCAAATATCTCAGCCTTTACATTCCCAGTGAGTTTTTTCGAAGGTCAGCGTTATTCGGTTGTTACTCATTTTGTAGTCAATCAAGTTACAAAGCGAGAAAAATATACTTTTGTCCTAGTTATGTTTAAAATTTTGATCTTTTAGGTACAAAAAAGTAGAGAAAACTGTGACAAAGATTTTTTTGCATGATATGCTTAGAAAATATAAATTCTTTTTCTGTGGAATAAACTTTTTAAACAATATTATTGATGTTCTTTATACGCATGCATACAGTTTATTTATTTAAAGTTTGTTACCACAAAGTGAACACCCGATAAATGCTTCATACTTATGTACCAAAATCTAACTTGGAAAAAATCTCTTAGTTATTTTACAAAATAATCGTTACTACCACCGTTTCAATCCACAAAACCAATAAGGGTCGATTATACGACTAGTGAATTCCAGCAACAATTCATTTCTTAGTGAGGCGGTTCAAATATCACTGCACCGAAATTCGAATTGTTCGAAGGTCGAAGTAATACCATTTTAAGTCTTCATGATTACTATACAAGCATGAGCATTTGTTTAGATAATAGTAAAATATTACAATGAATTCGAGGGGTAACGGTCTCGGGAGCATTACTAGAAGATGCGAACACCCACGAGCATCTCCAAATTAAAATCTGAGTTAGCCAATCAATAGAGCTTGTCGAGCCGAGTATAGCAACGCCTAACAAACACCCAAAAAAGATTTTATAGTTTCGCTTTTTAAACATACACTTTCAATGAAAAAAGAGGGTTCCACAAAAGAAACGGTAAGAACACTCAAAAACATGTGCCAAATTCATTTTCAGGTTGTTCTGAGCCTGCTGGTACCATTTTCAACCTAAACAAAATATTTTTAAGGATTTTTCAAACAATTCTCTCTTTCAGGTATTGTATAACTACAACTAAACGTTTTTTCTACAACGCCATTTTTTGACTTCACAGTAAAGAAATCTAGACATATTATGTGTCATAAGAAAGACCATGAACTTCTCTACAAAAGTACTATGTAGGAATTATTTAAAAGTTCTTTGTTCAAATTTAAATTGTGACTGACCTTCTCAATTATAGACTCCCAATTTGGCATATCATACACATGATTTTTGCAAAGAAGAGAAACACGATTTTTTCTAAGATTCTAATGGGTATCACTAGATTCAAAAATCCTTGTAGAGTATTTTAGCCTAATTTATAAACTCTCATTCCTTTTAGTGCAAGAAAACGAAAATAAAGACAATAGAAAAAATATATAAACATTTTCGTGTTCATTCATGTATTCTCCATTCTCCAGTGTACAACTTTCTATCCTGTATTTACTAAATTCAGTCGATGACTTGTCGAATGGAAATAACACTAAAGAGTTTGAACAGTTATAATCCAGTTTTTTATTGTGTCTTTTAGATAAAAATACTTTTCATCTTTAACAGTTGGTTTTACTTGATAATGACCGGTTAAAGTCTAAATATCGTGAATAAAAATAAAAAACGATCTCATTTTACTCGGCTACTATGATTCTAAGAGTCTACCCATTTGTAGTTTTTCTTTAGATCGAGGACGTCCAACAACTATGGATGATAGCGTACTCGATGATTGTGATTGTCAACAGCTTTACTCTGCTAATGCCGTATGTGTGGTTATAAGCAAAGTTTAATCCTTTTATTAAAAAAAACATTTTCTCAACAATAACATGTGTATAACAACATATTTATTCTTCAATAGATTATCTGAACAGATTTGGACGTCCATACTCGAGATGCACGAGTATTATCACACTCTGTTACGGCAATATCGTGTCTTTCTATGCATCTGGACATATGGCTTTTAACGTTCCATACAATGCTTGAGTTAAATCTCGAATTTCATGAGTGAAAAACACATGTTTCTTACTAGTAGATATTGCTTCTAATTCTTCCATGTTCGCTTTTTCAACACCCACTGTATAGATTTCAACATTCTCTGCCTTCAGACTACTAGCCGCACTCACAGTTGCTTTTCTATCATTTGATTCACCATCTGTAAATACCACACACACATTTTTTACCCTTTTTCGATCTCCATTTTTCTCTTTGAATATATCTTGCTTCATTGTGATCAAACCTAGATCTGTTTGTGTGCCACCTGATATATGGGCCAATCGACGGATATCTTCGATAGTAACAGGCTGATTAAAACGTCGAAATATTTGTGGTCTATTTGCATACAGAACAACACCAAACAAGACTGAAACATTTTGATTTTTCAAGACAGAAACAAATTCGGAAGTGGCATTCACAACTACAGTCCATTCTTTGATACTTGAAGATGAATCCAGTAAAATACCAACATCAACTTCTACACGACATTCTATATTTATGCAGAAACAGTACAAAGTAATAGTTAGGGAAGCATGCTTACATATGTTGATAGTATAGTTTAAAACTGATCGGTAAAACTCATACTGTTTAGATGAGAAAAACCTACTTGGACATGGCCATATGTTACATTTCTCCACTTCGTTATCTTGAATGTTGCAGGATTTACATGGTGCTCGTCTATTGTTCATAAAACACAAATTTGTTCTCTCCCTCGTGCCACCATCGCAAATTCTACTACAAGCACTCCATACAGTTGAATTTACACTACATAGACCTACAGAAGATATAGACAAACAATAATTAAGCAGCATAGTACGTCTATTAAACAGAACAATTACTGGGTTTTGCACTAGTGACTGATTCTTTTGTTGGAATTACTGTAGCTGCTTGTGGTCTTCCTATGATAAATAATAGTAATAGTCAAACTACCGTAGAATAATGTAAAGCTCTCCTCTGTAATGTTTATCATTAAATTGCGGTTGCATAGATCTACCAACTCGTCCACAAACTATGTGCTACACTGTAGAAAAGGCAAGTTCATCAGACAACAGAAATGTGCTTTTCATTTGTCTGAAAGAGGGACCTGACATGAATGCGCAAAAATTAGTAAAGCTCATTTTTCCGTATTCCTACTTATTGCACAGTCCACAAATAATAACTGAACACTTTCGGAAGCAAAATTTTATTCTGTCAAATACAGCGCTTGAGAATTTTATTAAATAATCAATAGATGTCGATCTTAATTCTCTACAAAATTAGATATATAGTTTTGCCATTAACTGAGATTCTTTTACATAACATTTAAAGTATTAAAACATTCCAGTTTTCAGAAATTACTCCGAGCAGACTTTTGTGTTTTACAAAGTGTTTCTAATCGTGTGATTCAACTTTCAAATGATTATTCTCCAATCAAAAGATTTGAATAATTTATTCATATACTTTGTTTCAATCCTTAGCGCTTTTCTTGTGCTATATGATACCAGACTAGATTTAAATACAAGATATTTTTGAATCATACAATGAATTAAATAACATATAATGAAACCTTCAGCTACAGTGCTAGTGAGAGTAGACTAAAATGCACTGGATAACTCAGATCAAAGACAAAACTGTTCTTGTTCAACCGTAAAAAAAGTGCGCAAAAAGCCAAAACCTTTAAATTGTTCTACAACCGTCGAAACGAACATACACCAAAACACGCTACATTTACCTCTCATCCGGCATCGACAATCTACATGAACGAAAATTACTAAGCACCGGGCAATAAAAAGCACATGAACAACAAAAATTACCGACCTAAACGCTACTGATGCCGTTATTTGATCACCCAAGTCAATTTTCTCATTGCTATAGTCACTATTTATTCGCTTTTAAATGAACCACGCTATTTTTACTACGACTCCGTGCGCGAGACGTGAATAAGCACAGCTCTTGCAGATGGCCATAATGACAAAGCTACCCCAAAATCGTATTTATTCTGGACAGTAGAAATCGTATGAGCTAAGTACTTGCTATCATCGCACAATGTCTAATAGACAATACTCTTAAACACTAAGTGTTAGATAGAAAGCTAAAGAAAAGGTGCATACCGGCCTTAGTAGTGGCTTCCACTACTTTCGCTGTTGTCTGCACAATATATTCACCCGTCGTTTGCCCAATTCCTACAACAACAAGCGCAAGATGGCATTATGAACTGTAGAGAAAACACTTAAAATCACATGTATGCATCAAACTCACATTATCAGAGAAAAAGAAAAATACGCACAGCTCTTGTCGATGACCGTAAACAATACAGCTACGTTAAAATCGTATTTGTTCAAGAAAATTACTCTTACATAGTTACTTAGTGTTGCATAAATAACTGAAAGAAACAGTGCGTACCTGTCTTAGTAGTCGCTTCCACTGGTTTCGCCGTCGTTTGCAAAATACTTTCACCAGTCGTTTGCACAATTCCTACAATAACAAATGCAAGATAGCATTAAGAAATGTAGAGAAAACACGAATAATATGACTGACCACATAACCCGAGGTCACCCCACGGTTGAATAGTGTATGGTAATCCATGAAATCGCTGTTCTCCTTCTACTTCAGCACTTCTCAAATTGTTCTCTTCTTAGAAAAACGGATTTTTCCTAAAGGTGTTCTACAAAACCAGCATTCTCTACGTTACTAATGCTGATCATTTACTACTCATCGTTTTGTTTTCGGAAACTGCCGCTACTTATACGTTAAGTGTTCGAAATTTAACACTGCAAAACAATAATAAATCGATGCCATGTTAATTTTCGAAAGTATTTTCTTTTTCTTATCTTATTTTCTTTTATGTGAATAATTTACATACAAAGCTGCCTTTCCTTCAATGTATTAAAGCAAAATCCTCTTATTGTATTCAAATTACTATTAATTAATGGTAAAGTAGTAATTTGAGCTTTGTCAAATATGTGTTCACGAAAATGATATGTATGCATCGAACTCACATTATAAGAGAAAAAGAAAAATATGCACAGCTCTTGTCGATGTCCGTAAATAACAAAGCTACGTTAAAATGGTATTTATTCAGGACGTCGGAAATCGTATGAGCTAAGTACTTACTATGATCGTTCAATGTCCGATGGAAGTACTCTACATACGAACGTAGTGTTAGATAGAAAGTTAAAGAAACATTGCATACCGGCCTTAGTAGTCGCTTCCACTAGTTTCGTTGTTGTCTGCAAAATACTTTCACCAGTCGTTTGCACAATTCCTACAATAGCAAGCGCAAGATAGCATTACGATCTGTAGAGAGAGCACAAATTATACGACT